CCCATGAATCGTACAGCCAATTCCGAAATGGCGCGGTCCAGTCCGGAATGGCGTACCGTTGATCCATGCTTCCAATCGATGACGGGGCTCCGCGAGCCAGGGACCAGCGTCCCAGTCGTAGCCTGTGCTACGACCCCCGCCCATACTTCTGCAAGTATGGACTTCCGCCTGAGGCGGCGTTTACTTGTTGGCATCCATGACAGCTTCCCGCTCGCCGTCTGACCCAGAGGTCGGAGCCATAAAGATCTGACAGAAAAGCGGCAAAATAGGCAGTTGGAATTCAGTTAGTTCCAGCGAACTTGTCCAGTAACCGCGCCAAGCGAGAAAGGAAAAATTAGACAGAAAATGTATCAGTTTGGACCCAGATTTAAGAAGCGGAATACAACACAAACATTCGTCCAACTATCAACATTCGGCCAACAATCCCTCTCCCCAACCCCCGGGCAATCCCTCTCCCCAACCCCCGGGCAATCCCTTTCCCCAACCCCCGGGCAATCCCTTTCCCCAACCCTCGGGCAATCCCTTTCCCCAACCCCCGGGCAATCCCTTTCCCCAACCCTCGGGCAATCCCTTTCCCCAACCCCCGGGCAATCCCTTTCCCCAACCCCCGGGCAATCCCTTTCCCCAACCCTCGGGCAATCCCTTTCCCCAACCCCCGGGCAATCCCTTTCCCCAACCCCCGGGCAATCCCTTTCCCCAACCCTCGGGCAATCCCTTTCCCCAACCCTCATGAGCCTACCGTTGCTGAGCTTTGGGGCGATGGCAATCAGCTTCTGCCGCAGCCACGCCCAGTACCGGGTGATGTCGCCAAGGGTGGTCTTCTCCCGCTGCACCGCCATGATCACACTTGCAAAGTAACCAAGGAGCATGACCACGGTCTCCAGGTTGAACCACCACACCCGGTCCTCGACAATGGCCTTCACCTCCGGCCCAGTTTTGGAGGCCGTGAGGAGGGTGGGGTTGCTGCGGTTGACATCGATAATGGGGTGCTCGTTGCGCAGGACAGACTCAGCGCACGAGTGCACGGATGTGAACCGTGTCTTGTTGGACGTCTCCAGCCCCCGAGTCACGTCCATCTTGGCGGCCGCAGCCCGGAGCAGGGCCAGGGTCTGGTCCGAAGCCTTAAAGAAGGTGACAACACGCTGGGCCTTTGACAGAATGTCCTTGAACCAATCGTGAGCGGCGATGGAACCCATGGCCAGGTAAAACGCGTGCATGAAGCACCTGTCATGTGGAACGGTCACAGTTGCCTTCCTTAGACAATGACAATGATATCGGTAAGGTTGCAGCCAAGGCGACTCGGCTGTGCATTTGAAACGCAACCCGAATCTACCAAGGCCACCAACACTCATAGCCCTAAGACTCACCGCACGGGGATGATGTGTGTGAACCCTGGAGTGCGGGCAACCTGGTTCCGTGCGTTCCGGACAGCTGCTGTGTCATCCGTGACCAAGCCCGCCACCTTGCTTGAGCCGACGGCCATGATGAACTCTATGAAGAGCTCTGTGGGTTAGCACAGCGGGATCGGGTATGGGCGGGGCGCGGGGGATAAATCAAGGTCACGTAAGGAAGGTGGAGTGGTGCCGTGGGTTGAAGTACAGGCTGCCGTCATTATCTGAAACCCCTTAAGATCCGTTCAGAACCTAACCACAATTAGCTAACCACTTAATGCTTACGTGCCAGGAAATCGGCAGTGTGCTTCTCCACCGTAACCTCGCGAGAGTCGAAGAGTACTGAGCTCCGATCTGAGGAGAAGGTGATGACCACACTGTAGATGGACTGGCCCCGCGGGTCAGTCCATCCATCGATGACCGCAGTCACAGCCGCCTCAGTCTGGATTCGCTTCTCAACCAAGCTCTTGATGTACAAGTACTCCTTGTCCAGCAGCTCGCAGCGCATCGCCCGTGCGCCTAATGGGGGTAAGGGCAGGGGGGAGAGGGAGGGGTATGGTGGTAGGTGCACCAAACGATAACCCTCAACTTAGCGCGATAGAACAGGACACTTGCTCGCTGGCACCAGTCCAGGCCGCACTTCTGTCTGCCAGTCCAGGAACATCGGCTTGTCTGCGACATTGAAGGGGATGCCGCAGACGACGAAGGCGTGAAGCTGCTTGGTGTGCATGCGCGCCTTGACGTCAGGCGGAACGCGTGCCGTGTCGAAGTGCTGCTTCAGTGTTGTCTGGCAGTCCTTGCGTGTCAAGGTGCGAGTCGAGGCGCTGCAGGCGCCCTTGGTCACTAATGCCTGCAGCTCGTGCCGGACCTCAGGCGGGACGGGTCCCGCGCACTTTTGCGCGATATGGACGCGCATCTCCTGAAGGCGCCCTTGCTTGGACTCGGTCCGGCAGTACTTGCAGATGATAGTCCAGTTCTTACACTTTGCATTATATTTTTTCTTCTCAAAGTGAGCCCAAAGGTCTGATCAGCGGTCCTTCCGCCCTTGTTTTTGACCGAATCTGTGTCTACACTGACAACGGAAGTTGTCTGAGACATTGATAAGATAAACTAAACATTCGCAGAGTTTCGCAGCCTTGCACAACGCGCCTACACTTTGAAACTATTCAAATTAGGTTCCGCCGTACGGCGCTAGCCGAAAGGGGCCGAAACTAGTTTCGGCATTTCCGCAGAACCAGGACCTCTTCGCCGGAATCGCCGAAACTAGTTTCGGCAGGTTTCCGTTTCGGCAGGTTTCCGTTTCGGCCCGAACACTGGGTCGTTGCCACTGGTTCTGAGCTGTACGACCGGTCCAGAATTTGCTAGGGCGTTTCCAAAGTGCGAAAATGGTGAGAGACCATGAGCCTAAGGGTTCCCGGTGGAAGGAGACTGACTGGAAGCTGCAGTTTGAAAAGCCCCGAAACGTTGGAAGGGGCCCCGAAATTTGTATCATGCCCGCAAAATCTGGTCCGGCCTTCCCCGAAATTCAAAGAGCACGTACAAATTTCAGAAAGTTTTTTGACCCCTCCCCGAACAAAGCGATCACGAACTATAAGTAGCACTACGGTACTCTCAACCACAATGCCTAAGCACCGCAGCACAATTGAGGGACAATTCTCGCAGGGCTTGACGAGACACTCCTAACGCCCTATGCGTCCAATGGCACTCCTAACTGCCCAATGCGCAAATTCTACAAGTGCGTGCCTGCAGTGGCGGTTTACAGGATACGAGCCTGCTTAAGTACGCGATTGCATACAACGGACCTTGGATAGCGGCCTTTAGAGCCAACTGCTGTCGAACAGTGAGGCCTGCTGCTTGTTCCGCATTCAACAGGCGGAAAGCGCCGCCGACCTCGGCATCTACGTCAAACCCTAAATCTAAAAGGGCAGCAACAATTGGCGAAATGGAACTATCGTCCTCGCCCCCCACAGAAAGCAGGGCTTGCCGAATGGTCACCATGTCTAGGTAGACCCGGACCCTGTGTGCTAATTGTATTGGAGGTCACTGTTGTATTTCGGCCAAGCATTTCTCCTGCCTTCACTGCGTTAAGTAAGCTGGGTTAGTGGGACGTAAGGCCCAGCGCGTACTTGTTAGTCTAACTGTTTTTCAACGGCCCGTGTCTTCAGGGCCGTCATTTATAGCGCGCATTACGCTGGTTAGCTTATCCTGTTTTTGTTGTTCAGCGCGCACACACATCACACGCGACAACACACAGACACATTCATGCATTCGCACACGCGTGCGAAAGGAACCATCAACTGCCCCTGAGATGGTGACCGAAATCGGCGGCAGACCGAGGCGCACTCCCATCCTAACCTAGCCAGTGCAGCAGCTCCATCACTCTCTTCGTCCCTCTTATCCTCATTCCCCCACAGTAGCAGTACAGCAAGTCAGCCCAGCAAGAGCGTCGCTATGTATAGTGGCAGTACATCCACCGCATGCAGAGTGGGTGTATGCCAGCACGCACTTGTGCCACCAGGCGGGTGCTGCTTCCCTCCGCCAGGCACCGACCCATGGGTCACAGATGTGTCGCATTCGAAAGCGCATTAATGTCCCCACCCACCATTCCCCGCGTGGGCTCCACTCACCCACCCACTCAGTCACCCACCGTGCTGTACACCGCCGGACATGCATGAACGTCATTGTCGTCCGCTTCTTCTTTCCGCCGTCCCAAAACCAGTCAGGGTCGAAGGAGAGGCAGCAAGAGGCAACAGGTAAGACTACGCTCGCCCCCTGCTCAACAACGCTTCCTACAATTTTGAACCCCAAGCACAGAAAAGTGAAGCCCGTTGCAGCAGCAGTGGCAGAGATGCTCACGGAAGTGAAGACACACGGCAATGACGGAGATGTCGGCTAGCTAGCACAGCACATCATGCATGGAGGGCAACACGCCCTCGACACCGCTCCGACAGTGCCACTCCACCAGTGCCGGTACCGGTGCTGGTGCCGTCACACGGCCAGAGATGACCAGTGTCCGACTACTCGGTGGGTCGATCCTTGCAGCACCTTCCTCATCACCTATCGCTATTTGCAAATGGCTACACGTTTACTTTGCTTATGCACTCTTTCTAGTCTTTCATCCCAACACAACCAACACAACCAACAGCGCAGGTTTAAGCTTGTGTGCCGGGACCGATGTCTCAAAACGGAGGAGGAGCTTCAGCAAGCTGCTGCTAATCGAATGGCGGTTGCGGTGCTTGCGTCCAGGGAAGCCGTTGCCGAGGCGACTGGCGGACCGCTAAGGCGGTAAGTTGACAGTTGACATCAGTTAAGGAAAAAGAAAGGACGTGGATGATGCCACGATGTCTATTTTTGTCTCCTCCCTCAAATTCAAAAAGTGTACATGTCGCACTACACGTCGTACTGGCCTAGCAGCGTGACCACATGTCGACATGTGGATGCAATGCGGATCTTTGTCAGGGAGAACTTTTTTGTCAGATCAGGTCCGAGGTCCGCAGACAAGCCCTCCTCCATAAATCTTTCCTCTCTTCCTCTTCCTCCGTTGTACGGTACTACATGCTTTTCATGGCAGCACATCTCGGTTGCTGCTACTGCTGCTGCTCCTGTGGCCGCTTCGAGCCCTCAACCAAGGACTGCTCTCCTCCCGCACGTTCATCTGGTGGTGGATGAGCCGACGTTTCTCCGCCGCCACACGATGACTGGCTACGGCTCTGCAACACATAAGGGACACGGTACGGCTGTTCCTGACATCACTCAACCCAGCCTCCAGCCTCCCCGAGCGGCTGCAGGCCACCTCCAATCTGTGCGACTCCGTTTCCCCTTCTTTTCCATCGTTGTCGTCGTCGTCCTAACTCACCTGTCGTCATTGCACGACACATGTCGTCCTTGTACGGCGCCGGTACCGCAGTTGAGATTTTGGTGGAAAGGTCGGGGTGTTTGCTGGCGGTAGAAGGGTCTGTAGGACAGCCACACGTATAAATGTGTATAGGGAATGTTCGAGGACACATGTATGCCGCTGGTGCTGATGTGCTGATGTCGCCGTAATGTTTGGTAGCTGGTGCTGGAGAAGTAGCGGCAGCAGCAGTGGCGATGTAATATCATCCCCAATCACAGTGACATGCAAGGTGTGGTGGTTTCTTTACGGCCAAATTCGAAAGTGTATTAAAAAATACAGAGCAGAGCATTAAGAAATTGAATGCTTTTATCCATACTGTAAGCCGTACATGTTTCTGAACATCTCCCCATAGGCACCGCGTCTTTCGGGCCCCCCCATGTAACACAAAACCTTCCCTAATCGCTACAATGCCAATGCACATTTCACCAGGCCTCCCCGTAAAACA